ATGTGTTGTAGCAGGCGTAAACAGAGGCTCTCACTACCAAAGCATTTGCCGTGTTGAAACCAATCGCCAGTCGTCTGGTAAATGAAATACAACTGGGAAAGTGCACGATGCCAATAAAAGTGGTCCTCATTGCAATTCAATCCCACGCTACTTATCGCCACCACCACCACCACCTCCTCAGGCAAAGAGGGGGGCTTCGTATCAAATGTGCCGGAAGAGCTGTCAGCCTCGCAGTGAACAGAGTGCGTAAACATTCATCAGTTTTTGCCCTTAAATCAGGACTATTTCTAGTCTCTGTAGAATAGGTAACTGAGTGGGACCGTAATTTTCAAACCCATTTTAATATTCTGAGGTCCAAATCGTCTAAATAGAATAGACAGACAGTAACACTGCACAAAACAGGACTTCCACTTCCGGCTGCCTATTTTATAGTTATTTACTTCGAGCCAACTCTAACTGTCGCGTATTCGATAGACCTAGCTTATCAGACCGCTTTGGATCAAGGACCTAACCTAATTCCCATAGTTTTCAGACAGCCTGACAGTTTGGACCAACAAACTACAACAGGGGAAGACCATCCGAGGCTCGAACCCACGAATTGTTGATCAAAATTCCAACGCTCTTGCAAATGAGTCACGGGCAGAACGGGACCAGAGAGTTCCGTTAGCGATTGATGAACGTTCATCAAGGAATGTCGATATCTCCAAGCCAAACCGGCAAGACAACGAGCCCGTGACTCAGTGGCTAGAGCGTTGAACTTCTGATCAACAGCTCGCGCGTCGGAGCCTCGAGTGGTGTGGTATGGCTGGCTCATGACGGCTAATAAGCCAGAAATGGTAATTCCAGTCTCCCCTCTTTTTGCCGACAATGTCCCTCCTACACTACTAGCCGCCGTTCGGCTGCTGGCGGGACTCACGAGTGAGTCCCAAGGCAGACATTGAAGACTAGGTTTCGTTAGTGATCGGTGAGCGCTCATCAACGAAAAAGAATTTAAGGTAGGGCTTTCATGTGAGACCACCGTTTGTCTGTAATTAATAATACAAAAATTACTTCCACATTTTCAACAGGGCGATTTTCTGTCCATCCAAAAACTGCCTTGGTTATGTTAACCAATAGGAGTTGCTCTAATACTTTTCTTGTTCAATAGGCTCCCTTTTCAGTATTTTTTTCCTTACCGCAATCTTTTCACCTACATTTTCAGTCTAGGAAAACAGTTGCAGGCGGCTTTAATTTATTTCTTATTGCGCAGTTATCACACACCTAGACGGCCCTAGTTTTCTCGTCCTTTAATTTCCCTTTACCTAGGACTTCCGTAAGACATTTGGACGGCGGAATTTTCGCCATTAAGCGGCCTCACAAGAAAACCTTATGGAATTTAATTTGTCCCAGGTTTCAGATTCTCAATCGAATCCATTTTCAGTGACAGTAGGATATAAAGGTGATAGAGGAACCGAGTTCGGAGTATTTATGAGGTGCAGTTGTCACACAGTTACGTATGCATCTTCCTCTGTTGTCCCTCGACAGTACGAACTCGACCTAACAATGCACACACATGAGACAAGAGTTATTTGTAAAAACAATGCTACTCACTGTTTGCCAATACAATTTTTATAGTGACAATTTTACGCGTGCCTGTAAACATGCGTCGGCATGTAATCAAAAGGGTTTTCAAAGGCATTGCCTATTACCCTCACCAAATAAACAAATAAACTGAAACTGAACTGCTTCGCGGATATTGCTTTTTCACTTTAATTAGCATATAAATTATGGCCAGTGCACCTGACTGACAGCACACATTACGCAGATTCTAACGACAACAACAACGATAATAACACTTGCCACTTTGGTGTGTGGCATATTTTTATGTTTACTTTTCTGATCCAAACAGTTGTTTGAGACCCAACGCGTGCGTCATGGAATGATGGCCCTGGGTCCGTCAGGTGCCGGGAAGACTTGCTGCATTACAGCCCTGATGCGCTCAATGGGCGAGTTCTGGGAGCCGCATCGAGAGATGCGCATGAATCCAAAGGCCATCACAGCTCCGGAGATGTTTGGCAGGCTGGATGTGGCCACCAACGACTGGACTGACGGCATCTTCTCCACCCTCTGGCGTCGCAGTTTGAAGGCAAAGAAGAATGAGCACGTGTGGCTCATCCTCGATGGCCCGGTGGACGCTATTTGGATTGAGAACCTAAACTCTGTCCTCGACGACAACAAGACCCTGACCTTGGCCAACGGCGACCGTATTCCCATGTCGCCCAACTGTAAGATTCTCTTCGAAGTGCACAACATCGACAATGCTTCACCAGCTACCGTCTCTCGCAACGGCATGGTCTTCATGTCCAGTTCTGTCCTTGATTGGTCACCCATTTCGAAGGTAGGTTTTCGGAGAGTTGCAGGTCTTGAGCATATGCGTAAACTTTGCTTTTTGTGTAAAATTATTGAGAGCCTAAGGAAAATATTATTGGTTGCAAGAGTTCTGTGGATAAATAGAGAGGTTCGCCTTTGATAAATGTACGTACATTTGGTAGTTTGTTTCTCTGCCCCAAATCACATTATGCTCAAAGAATAAGAATGCCTCTGCAGATCTTCCATGCATATCTATGTAGTTTTGTTGTTGCAACGGTCGCTATGCCTTCTGATTTTGCTTGCCGTGGCCTCCTGACATAAAAAACATAAGTAGAGCTTCGAGTCTACTGGCTTCTCAAAACCTAATTTACGAAACTATCGTGCCTATTAATCGTGGCATAGTGTTCTTAGCAATGATTGTGGGTTCAACTAACGCATCTTTTGTGCACTTTTAGGCCCGACTTGCGGCTAGACCAGCGAATGAGCGCAACAAATTCTATGAACTCTTCCATGATTCGTTCCCTCAAAGTTACACCTTCGTATACCAGAATTTAGTCATCAAAATCCCCTACTTGGAGGCCTTCTTCGTTCATCAGCTCTGTACCCTACTCGAGGGACTCCTCATGCTCGAAAACCAGGTTTGTTGACTGACGGATTAATGTATTCAGGATGGAAGTTGTGCTATCATGCTAAATTCGAGGAATAAACGCTTATCTAATTGTCTGTTCTCCACCCTTCACTACAAGCTTTAAATTACCTGATTGGATTCTTGATCTTACTTCATCCACAGTAGGTCTTCCAGGCAGATATGAAGCAACTGTTCAGCTATAATTAATCCAGTTATGGATTGATACAAATCTGAATTAACTACTAAAAATGGAAGTTATAAAGTTGGTATGAAATAACTTAGTCACTTTTATTGGATAAATAAATTTGGAGCTAACTCAGTCTTTTAGGAAATAGCCCAGTGTTTGATCAGAAACTGGATCTTCTCTTAATTGGCTCTCAGACAATTCTGTTTCTTCAACTGAATCTCTATCTGGGAGTGCATCGGTATTATTTGTTGAGGAATGTACCCTGCAAAGCTGCTGAGCAAGTCTTGCTCTGCGGTTTCTGTGATATTATGATTGAATCTGCTTGAACTTGCATCTTTTGTCACTGAAAATTTGATGTTGCTACGCTTTCAATTTTTTTAGAAGTCACAATCCTGCTCCCGAAGTGGATTGTCTGAGATCTGGAAGTTGTTTAATGCAACAACAAAAAATGCGTAATCATATCATATGATTGTTAACTCCATCCATACATGCGATACATTATCTCCCATAACTGTGAGAACCGTCCAAAGGTATTCTCAACAAGCTTGATACTTAAGGCTGTTCTTACAAGTACTAGGCACAAGTAGAGGCCTTAGAGTTTACCTTTAATGACTGCAAGATAATGGTAGAATAGAAGCTATACCAGCACCAAAGCTCCGATAGGCCACTTGCTCACCAAAAAGAAAAACGAAGAATGAGAAACCATAGTGAAAATTAATTTCCGGGGTCCAAATCGTGTGTGCAATGGTTTATTATAGCTAAGTTACCCCCTTTTTACTGATTGGATGGCTACAAGTGGTTAAAAATAACCTCAATGTAGTTATTTAGAATTTGGAAAAGTAATTTTCTATATCGAAAACGTTCGTTTGCCTACCTTGACTTCCTAAATTTTCTATGAAATAAAGTCCTAGAATTATCAAGTTAATACTTAATAGTTGATTAACTTCTCACCAATTCATTGGTTATATGATTAAAAGATTGATTCTCCAATTAGAGACTGATTTATTCCTAATTCATCAGTCACTGATAGATTACCCAGTCCAATAAAAAATACCTTGACCGACCCAGTTGTTTTATTGACTCTTCAACTGAGTGCTCAATATCCTCGATGAGACACGTGATGTGAAAAGGCATACTTCAGCACACATAGACTACGTAGTGACTACCTCCGCTAGGATCTCACGACTGCGGTTCTCGACGCCAATCACAGATGCCGCAAAGCTTGGCCTTAGCTCGGCGATGAATAGCATGCCTGTATGCGTGCCCGACGTGATCTGTCTGTCTGACCAAAACCTTTAAGGCCGACCCAGCCAATGAGCGCGCTCTCTCTCTCTGGCCTCTGGCATTCCTACTACTAAGCGGCACTTCGGATCACGCCGCTCCAGAGGAAGGTCGTGCTCTCCGTAGTCAAACTCTTTCCATCTATTTTTCGTTCCTCTGTGTACACAATAAACCATTCCTTCTATTCTGGCGTCCACTGACTTCTTCTTTTCTAAGGAACCATGGGCTAAAGATCGCAGTTGCTAGGGTTTAACTTACTTCATCCCAGCGTATGTGGCGATAACTACTCTACCTTTGAATATCACCTTCTGCATCTTGGTGTACGTTTTACATCTTGTTCATGTAGATTGAAAGCACTGCTTTTTCTGCTTTTGCAGCAAGCGGGAACAGACACATATCTGGAACGCATATACATATTCGCTATGATGTGGTCGCTGGGGGCACTGCTGGAACTGGATGATCGTGCCAGACTCGAAAA